AACGATAAAATTACAGATAACCGTAATCAGCGAAACAAGGGTCTAACACGTACAATATCTACAACTGTCGGACGTAACTTGGCCAGTATAATTACCTTTCAGTCGTGTATATTACTACATAAAACATTTGCCGAAAATAACAATATTTAATCAGTAAATGGTTCGTTTCGCTAATTACAGATAATCAAAAATCTGCAATCAGTGAAACAAGGGTCTCACAGGTACAATATTCACAACTGTTGGACGAAACTTGACAAGTAATGTGTACCTTTCAGTCGTGTATAAAACTTCAGAAATCTGTATATATATACCTATTAATCTATATTTACCTACACCACTAGAGGACGCTGTTATTCTCAGATACAATACAACACTACAGGCGCGGTTACCCCCCCCCCCCCCCAACATTGTCTACTTACTAAACGCCAACTTTGAGGTTTATATAAATTTTGGTTGTAATCTTCTTGTGCATTGCTGAGAATCACCTAAAATATATTTAATTGAAGCTTAATAACGTCCCAGTTTGTACTCGTTGATCTGCGCAACAACCAAAGTCGCCATCTTTGTTTATACGAGACCTATATATCTCGCGCATGCGTGGCGTGACGACTACCGCCCTTTAACAATGTGGATACTGCCCTCTGTCAACTCAAGTTTGCCTGTGCATTGCTGAGAAAATGCTTTACAAGAACAAATCCACCCAAAGCATTGACGCATTTTAGTGCTAAAACACTTATTCCATTGAACCAAGCTCATCTTATGCTGGTTGCTGATCACAGCTAATACATTTAAGATGAACATTCAAAAACTACAATCATATAATCTATTCAGGTACTCATGACCATATAGATCAGAATCTGAAAACAATCACGCTTATGTGTCATGTCTTTGAGATAAAAACATGAGAATGTTGTTGCGCCAAAAACCACCCTGCATTATGAAGAAGGTCAATGAGTTGGCCATTCCATGGATGTGGATGATCTATGATAATGCAGCTATACTGTAGCTGATGATATTTCTAATATGCAAATCTAATGGTTTAAGTCAGGTTTGGAAGAAACCAAGAAGCTATGGTACTTGGCAGCTTCACCAGCCATTGGAATCCTTCCCAGGGCAGGCAGGGGATTATATATTTTTGAAACAGTGGAATACAGATGCAGTGGTTTTGTTTTATTGGCCAATTTCTGTTGTCCCATCAGTAAAGTCTGGCATTGCTGACAAAGATTGGATGAACTGCACATTTGAGACAGGCACAGAAACACCTTTCACAAGGTTAATCTGCTTGAGCACTTCCAGATGTTTGAATGGTACACCTGTATCTTCATCGGTGTTCATACATCCTGAAGCATGAAGCTGTTCATGGATGGTGAACTAACATACTGAACGCAAAGAAAACCACACCAGGTTCGGCCAATTGGGTAATTTCATTATAATGATAGTGGTGACTGCTGCAGTTTCTTCTGTACTGGTACATAAGTAGAAATGGTGGAAATAAATGAGTGTCCACGTTTTCCCCATGGCATGATCAGCATATCACACATAAGCCTGTCTGAACAGAAGCCTTGAAATAAAGCCTGATCATTCTGGTTTATCTGAATAGGTGATTTTCCGTTCAACTGCGAGATCTCGCGAGATGCATGAAATCGAACGTAAAAACAGGACAAACAAAGGTCCGGGGGGGGGGGGGTTGCATGACACAATTGGTTGAAATAATCGTCTCATTTGCATAAATTAATATTCATGAGCAACGAAAAACTAGTCTTTCCAGTAAAATTGTGCCAAAATGCTTTCCGATAGCATACATGTTAGTTCTAAATTGACTGATTCTATCGTTATGAGCTGAAAAAATAATCGGGAAAATGATGTAAAGGTATTTTTTGAGACACGTTTTCGATCAGACTCCAGCTAACTGTTGAAAGTAAGCACAGGTTTTCTCTTTACCATGATCATAGCAAGTTACGAAATTCATGGAGAATGCAGAGGCACGTTTAAATTTCACTCTAGTACTATGCTCAAAATGTTTTCGGTGACTTTTATCAGTGACAAGTTACCTAATTAGTT